TAAAAATCAATGGTGGCGGAAACTAAATTCATGACTAATATTTGGATATGTCTTCCTAGTATGACCAGGGGTGTGACAGTAGGAACAATTTTTTACACGATTATGTTGTTCTCTAATGTTCATCTCTGTTATAATCCTACTGGACTTTGACCGACCCTTGAAAGTTCTCTTGAGTTCTGGATTTGGCCACAAAGTTGGAAGAAATGCAACATCCGAGGGAAGTTTGACCTACTGGGAGATTTATAGTAAGGCTAAATGAAATGTGGTATGATTTGCGGCAAGTTCCAGAAAGTTCATATCCCTTGCTCACATGACCCGCTGGGAGATTTACAGTAAGGCTAAATGAAATGTGGTATGATTGCAACAAGTTCCAAAAAGTTCATATCCCTTGCTCGCATGACCCACTAGGAGATTTACAGTAATGCTAAATGTAATGTGGTTTGATTGCAGCAAGTTCCAGAAAGTTCATATCCCTTACTCGCATGGTCACACCACTAGTCACACTAGGAAGACATATCCAAATATTGGTCATGAATTCAGTTTCAGCCACCATTGATCTTTATTGTTGTATTGAATTTTAATAAATTTATTTAGTTATAATTATAATGTTAATATTCAATAAATTTAATTATTTGATGTTAGTTTCTGAGTTTTGGTATTTGATAAGTGAAAATTGAACCAAATTTTTTTTATTTATAGGCCAAAACGGCCCGTTCTGGATTCAGAACGGTTCGTTCTAATCCATTCATCATGTGTTATTTTTTAATCTGGAACAGCCCATTCTGGTTTCCGAACAGCTCGTTCTGAACGTGAACAGTAAATGGTGCTAGTTGGGGAAATAAATTTGCACCGTTGCTATTTGGGTAAAAAAATTTTAAAATAGTATTATTTGAGTAAAAAAACTCGTTAATTGAAGGATGTGTGTAGTTTGTAGAGTAATTTGACAAGTGATTAGAAGGGTAAAATCAAAAAAAAAATTGTGTACACAAAAAAAAAACTATTACCTTTATTATAGTTATTAAAATAAATAAATAAGTAAATAAATTATGAAAATTATATTTTAGTAGATAGTTAATCAAATGGTGTGAATAGTTTGTAGAGTAATTTAAGGAGTGATTAAAAGCATAAAATCGAAAAGAAAATGTATACATGGAAAAAAGGTTATCATCTTTATTATAGTTATACATTATCTATAATAATAGATAAAAGGTGTACCTTTTTCCCCATTGCTTTTGGTATCTATTTCTAATGAGATTATTTTGTCCTTTACAACTCTCATAAAAAAAATAAATCAATTTTTTATACCAAAATTTTCGTTTTCACATTTAGGCTTTTAATCTCCTTATGTTATATTTCTTTTGTAAATAAGAATATGAATAGGTCAAGTCTTAAATAAGAGTCTATGGTCTATCCTCTTTAAAGTTTGACACGTTTAATAAAAAAAAGTTTAGACTTAAAAAAAAAAACATATTTATTTAAAAAGGTTGAATATAGACTTATAAAAAAAATCTGTTAAACTTGATAGGTTAATTTATTTATTTGTATAATACAATAAAAAATTAATATACATATATTATCCAAACAAGATTACCCTCTTTTATCATAATTTGTGCGTGAGTGTACATTAATGTATATAAATGTACATGAGTTGTCCTTTTAATAGAAAATAATTTCATCTATTCTCTCTTTATAACTTTGTATATCTCGATACCTGTGAAATCTTCATGCATAATGAGTATTCTTTTTTAGTTTATAAATTGTTATCATAACTATTTTAGTTTGTTAAAAATATGAGTAAGTTATTTAGAATAAATCAAATTAGATAGAGAAAATATTTTTTATATAATTATCCCTTTCCATTATAGATTCATAGGCTTATGGTTTGTATGTAAGTGTACGTCAATACATATGATTGAACATGAATTGTCCCTCTAACAAAAAATATTCACTTTTTCCTTTTTGATACATTGTATATATTTCAAATTTTAAATTTTAATAATATTGAGTAAAATATATTTTATCACATAAATTAAAAAATAACTCACAATAACGTATTTAAAAATAAATTTGTTTCTTTTTTAAAAATCGTTTATTAACCTAATTACCATTATAATATAAAATAGGCTTTTAAATATGTTAATTCTTTAAAAAAAGTCAGGTCAAACCTAAAAAAAAGTCTATGATAAAGAATATGTCACACTTAGACTTTAATTTTGTAGAACAGACCTAACCTATATATACATGGTTTGATCTGACTTATTCTCATCCCTAGTTGCAAATAAAAACTTCTTACTACCTATACAATTATATTTTTTTCCTCTCTTTTATCTCTTGCTATAATCATACACAATATGATGGAAACCCTAGGAGAGACTAGACTAATGTAGTTTCTCCTTCAAGCTTCTTGGACGAATCTTTCACTTCTTGGACTCCTTCACGCTTCTTCAATGGCTTTTATTGATGTTAGAAGTCAATTCTAATAGACAAGAACATGTAGGATCTCTCTTAGATGACGTCACACTTCTAAAAAGTGATAAGTCTCTTCAATTTCTCACCACACTTAAAAAAGGACAAGAGAAGAGTAAAAATTTCAAAGAGAGAAGCAAGCTTTGAGAGAGAATTTGGAAAGAAATTTCGTCCAAATCATATATATTACTCAAAAACTAATACAAAATGGGTCAAAGTTACAATATATAAAATTTAGTTGGCTTATGGTACAAGTTAGACTAACCATGATTAAGTCTAATCATGATTAACTATCTTGTACTTAAACTAACCAATTTTGGTTAAATTTCTAAAAGTCTAGTTAATTGTCTAGAAACTTATGGAGTAAGCTAAACTAATCCTAATTTAAGAATAACTTAGGTTAGTTTAAGTTAATTCTAACTACCTAATCTAATCATTACAATTCTAAGTAATGATTACATTTAACAAGTTTGTTAAGATATCATTATCAAAGTCATGTGACTTAATTTGTAACTTGGATGACAAGTTTGACTTGGTTTAGACATCCAAACTACTTGCATAAGCAATTGGACGTCCAATACCAATGAGTCAAAAGGAGTTTGGGTTATCCAAACTCAAATTAGTCTAACAAGACTTAGTTACACCTCTCTTAATCTACTAATTATACCCTTAAATAAAAATAATACAAGATTAAAGTAAAGGAAAATATTTACAACGAAAATATACAAAAAAAAAAAAAATAAACTATGAAATAAACTTATAGCTCAATAGAAGCTTAAGTCTTTTACCTTCATCTTGAGCTCACTCCTTTTACATTTTTCTTGACATTGCTCTTGTTAAAGGTTCTATAGCCTTCAAAAATATTTTTCATCACAATTATCTCCAAAATTCTTAATTTATTTTTGAAAAATAAAGAAACACAAAGTGTTTCCACCACACTAATATTGATAAAAAATAATATTTTTTTGTGTATATTTTTTTTATTATCATTTTGTCCTTTTGAAGCAATCTTTATCTGATTTTTTTTCTATTTTATTTATTTATATATTTTGTGTTTATTCTCTTTCTTCTCTACTATCCCATAAATTAATTTTCCATACTTCTCACATCCCAATTTGTTAACTACCCCTTATATTTTTTTAATGGGTTGCTCACTCATATTGAATTTCAATTATTTTTGTTTTTTTAAAAAATGTACGGAGGCATCAAGTGTTTTTTTCTACGATGGAACTATTTTCTATAATAATACTTTTAGAAATTTTTTTAACTTTTTTTTAATTCAATTTTTATTTATCATATTTATTTATAAATTAAATTATATTTTTTAAAATAAATTAATAATTAAAAATAATTTTATATCACAATATAAATTATTTATCAT